CACCCAAATCAGACAACTCAAAATCTTCAGTTATCGTGAATCAACCAGAATATCAATGATAACTGAAGTACAACCGAGTTCCAACAACTATTTTGACAGAACCGAAATGAGAAGAATTCGGAGTAAATAAAATAACTGAGACTAAGTGCACCTGAAGTGGCTCATAATTTCTAGTAAACCTACGCCAATCGAGAGTTCCACAATGAGAATGATTGTTTTGTGAGAAACAGATGACAAACAATGTACAAATGACTGCATCAAAAAAGTACCTGTCTATGTTGTGGGCAGCCGGTATGTGACATCCGCCCTCATACTCGTAACAGCACATGAAACTAAATTAGTCATGATCATATCCTTCCTAAACCCCCTAAACGCTTCTTCTATCTCTACGACTAGGTGGCCATATAAGGGATTCCCACTCTGAGGCAGCTTGGGATGATATTCAAGAAGCTGTGTACCCTGCAGTGATATTTGCTGGTGAGGTAAACCGAAAGGTTTTGCAGGAGCAGTAGCATCTACCGAACTGATAGATGCTCGGAAACGCATCCCGTCTGGCTTTGAACATGATCAGGAACGTAGTGAGCCTAAGCGCAAGCTGATAAAAAGACTACGCCATGATCGCGAACATTGGTGGTTAGCTGAGGCGAGAGAGATGGAAAAGGTAGCGGCAATGGGTAACAGTAGACAACAAATCCGACTTATCAAGGAAACGTTTACTATGAATCCAACTGTTAGCGAAACTATCTCGCAAAAAGATGGGATCGTCATTCATTCTCAACCCTGATGATTGTAATGATGGGCAGAATTGTTCAGCGGTCAATTAGACTGGACTTCAGCGAAACGTCGATTACTCACGATCTGGAGTTGCTTTGTGAAATATATGTGAAGTGTGATACAGTTATGTTATTAGTCTTCATTGTACCATTTCAATGTGGTCTTCAATTTGTGTTCACCGACTGGTTTGTCGTGAAAAACAAATACCTTTAGAATCGATCAATTTCTAAATGTAACAGACGTAGTAATGAGAGTTGTAATCATGCAGCCATACTTCTGTTTAAAGAAGGAAGGAAAAACATGAAGAGTGATTGAAGAATTTAGGAAACGAAAATGGCCTTTCCGAACAGTAAATGAACATTATTTACTCATTTAACCAGTTGGTAATAACTCAACAACTTGATTGACGATGTATGGTTATCTTTCAAAGCCAATCAAGTACGAGTGAAACGAAGAGTTTTCAACGGGATTTTCAATGTTGGCTTCATTGCTCAGATTTAAGTAGATTGTAAGTAAATACCGATTACACATACGTGCACAACTTTGCGAAACACTTTTGTTATTATACGTCACTCGAGTGATCAGTGTTTACGGAAGAATGAACTTTCTTGTTTCCCGCTTCTTGTAACAGCTTTAACTTCATGCAATTGTAGTGGAATACTTTTCTGAAGAGAAAGCAATTGGTGAAATGGAAGCATTCATTATTGTAACCAGTGGTACCAGTGATTGCTTTACGGCTTCCTGATTACGTGACCCTTACATTGTCCATGTTGTTACGGGAGAAATGAAGACATTTTGCTGATCAAAACCTTTGTATAAATATCATTAATTTCACTGTGTTTTTTGGGTATATTTGTTTTACTTAACTTATGAACTTGTTTGAATTATTATTTTCTGCCATTTTGGACTCCCGTTTCTCTTGGTTGTTCGTTTGCAGTTTTTTGCCTCAGGAATCTATAAATTAGAAGGTAATTGTAATTATTATAATTATTGTTGTTAGAATGACATTGGTCGTCTATTTGTAATAAACGAACGACATTTTGGTCGATTATTTTGAATTAAGAATAAAATTTGGTACCTACTTTGGAGTTTCGTTTTGATATAATCTTTAAATTCGTGAATTGCAAATAGATCGACAACTGTGCTTCTAAGGATCAAGGAGCAAAAAATTGGACGTAACAAAAGTTCTTCTAATTTTATTTGGTCGTTGGATACTTTGGACACTTCAATTTTGGTTCTTTGGTCATTGGATACTTTTGGACATTTGGGTCCAAAAGTTCTTCAAAATTTTGCTTTTGTCGTTGGATACCCCGAGACATTTTGGCTCCAAGATATTTTGCGTCAAAATTTTGTTATTATTGGTCGAATACGTTTGGATTAATTTCACATTTGCTTGGTAATCGATTTCGAACAAAAGCATACAATGGAAACTAGAAGCAAAAAGCTGAAGGAAAATGACGAAATGGATGGTAAAATTTCTAAAGCTGTTTGTGGTATGTCTGATTTTAATGATGATAAACTTGATGATATTAGTGTTAATAGTAAGTCTTCATCTCAGTTTAGTACTTCTAGATTGAAGTTAGATAAGGCATTAATTAAGAAGAAGAATTTGGAAAGGAGACTTGAGTTAGAAAAGCAGCTTAAAATGTTAGATCTTCAAGAGGAGGTTGATATGGCCGAATTAGAATGTAAGGTCATAGAAAACGATAACCAACTGTCAGTAGACAAAGCTGAGATAAATTCTAAGGTGGAAAGGTACTTGGATTGTGATATTGCGCGTAATAAGGTAATTAACACCTCAAAATGCGATTGTATTGATGAATTAAAGGACACGTTACGTGCTACGGTTAATAATACAGTTTTGCCTAAGATCGATATGATGTTTTTTGACGGACAACCAAGCCAGTACCACCGTTTTATTAGTCAGTTTACAAGCATTATAGAGAGTAAACTGTCTGACAAGGGCCAGTTGTTGTCATATTTGTCATACTATTGTAAAGGAAAGGCCAGAATGGCTATTGAAGCTTGTATTTCCTTGCCCAGTCACTTGGGTTACGATAGAGCTAAACAAATTTTGTATGATCTATTTGGTAAAGAACATCTTGTCGCCCGTAATCTTATTACCGAATTACTTAGCCACAAATCTGTTGAAGGATCCGTCGATGGCCTAACTGACTTCGCAATTAAGTTACGTAATGTATGTATAACATTGAAGGAAATGGGGTATATGTCTGATGTGAATTCTACGGCTAATCTGGAAATAATTGTGTCACGTTTACCCTTGGAATTACAGAATAAATGGGTGGAAGCTGCTGATAGGATCATGATGACCGGTAGAGAGCCGATATTTGAAGAATTAGTGATGTTTGTAGAAGAAAGAGCCAGGATTGCGCGATCACGTTTTGGTAGACTGGTACATTGTAACTCAAAGTTCCGTAAAGGTAATTATGAAGGCCAAGTTGACAGGAGATCACGCTTTAATGTAGTTAAGAGGGAACCAAGCAACTCATTCAAGGCTTTAAGTTGCGAAATTTGTTTTGGTGATCACAAGGAGAAAGACTGTATGAAGTTATCAAAAATGAATGTTACAGAGAGGAGGCAGGAAGTGAGAAAGCGTGGTCTATGTTACTTGTGTTTAAGGAAGGGTCACATAGCCAAGTCGTGTAACTCAGACACAAGGTGTGACGTTGATAATTGCAAGATTCGGCATAATCCATTATTACATATTGATGCTTCTAACAAACATGTAGTGAACTTTGCTAAGGATTGGAAATTCCCAAAGGTTTGTTTGGGTATCGTTCCGGTTAGACTATATGGCCCCAAAGGATGTCTGGAAACATACGCTCTTCTAGACAATGGTTCAGATACCTCTATTGTATGCGAAGAGTTAGTTAATCGGTTAGGTCTCAAAGGTAAGGAGACTTCAATAAAGGTGACGACTGTGAATGGAACTTCTACTTGTGAATGTCTGGAAGTAAATTTAGAGGTATTTTCATTAGATGAGCGGGGTTCTATAAAGATCAACAAGGCCTATACGACCAAGAAACTTCCGATCGATTATGCAGAGCCTTTAACCGAACTGCAGCTGAGAAAGTGGAAACATTTAAGGGACATAACTCTACCGAGGCTGCAAAGTAATCTAGTAGGAATATTGATTGGGTGTGATGCTCCAGATGCACATTGGGTCCTTGAACAACGCCTGGGAGATAGGAAGCATCCGTTTGGTGTGCGTACTCATCTCGGTTGGATGATTTTAGGTCCTAAAGAAGCATCGAGGTCTTTACATCAAGTTCAGTGGTGTCATTGTTCTACTAATGATATTTTGCGAGATATAGAAAGATTATATAATCATGAATTCGAGGATGCAGATGGGTTTCGTAATGAATATTCTGTCGAAGATAAAAGAGCTCTAGAAATAGTTAATAGTTCCTTTAGACTGGAAGGTGGCCATTTCCAAGTTGGTCTACCCTGGAGGTATGATAAGCCAAGGCTACCGAATAATTTGGAACTAGCTGAACGTAGACTAGAGTGTTTAAGGAAGAGGTTTATGATGCATAATAGTCTTCTGGAGAAATATCAACTTGTAATCAGTAAACATTTAAGCAAAGGCTACATCACTGAAGCTAGTAAGGAGGAATTCGACCGTGATGCTGTTTGTTGGTATATTCCTCATCATCCTGTTATCAACCCTAAAAAGCCTGGAAAATTAAGAATTGTTTTTGATTGTGCAGCTGTCTATCAAGGTTGTTCTCTTAACGATCAGCTTTTGAGAGGACCTAATACTGTAAATAGTTTGATTGGTATACTTCTACGATTCAGATTATGCAACGTAGCATTAGCCGCTGACATCGAGGAGATGTTCCTTCAAGTAAAGATCCCGAAACGAGACAGGGGAGCGTTTCGACTATTATGGTGGGAAGACGGTGATATAGGACGAAAGGCTAAAGAATATTGTTTGACAGTTCATCCGTTTGGAGCCGTGTCCTCTCCCTTTTGCGCTAATTTCGCTCTTCGGAAGACGGTAGATATATTCGGAAAGGAGTTGAATAAAGATGTCCAGGAAGTTGTAGATAAGAGTTTCTATGTCGACGACTATTTAACTTCAATTGATAATGTGCAGGATGCAATCGAGCTTGCAAAAACCCTTGGTTTACTACTCAGAAAAGGTGGGTTCAGACTTACCAAGTGGATAAGTAACTGTTTACAGGTTCTCGAATCAATTCATCCAGAAGAGAGAGCAGAAGCCGTAAAAGAGATTGACTTTGAGAGACTTCCTACGGAACGCACATTGGGATTATTTTGGAATACTATGGTTGATGCGTTTGAATTTAAAGTTCGCATACCGAAATGCCCTCTCACTAGGCGAGGTATATTGTCGAGTGTAGCTTCATTATACGACCCCTTGGGATTGTTAGCACCATTCACACTTCCTATGAAGCAGTTACTTCAACGTTTGAGTAAATTGGGACTAGGATGGGACGAAGAGATTCCAAGTGAGGAAGGCAAACGCTGGTTAGAGATTTTAAGTGGATTTCAGAGGGTTGAGAACGTTAGTTTTCCACGCTGTGTATTATTTCCACAATCAGATCGCTCGCTCCTGGAACTTCATATTTTCTGTGACGCCTCGGAAATTGGATATGGGGCAGTGGCATACATCCGTTCTTACATCGATGACACTGAAATATGTTCTCGTCTTATTACGGCTAAGGCAAGAGTAACCCCCTTAAAGATTCAAACTATACCCCGCTTGGAACTTACGGCAGCAGTGTTAGCAGCGCGTATGGGGTCCCAGCTGCAGTCCGAGTTAGATATCAAGTTTGCAGAAGTTGTGTTTTGGACGGATTCCATGATTGTCTTACACTATATTAGAAATGAGAAAAGCCAGTTTAAAACATTCATAGCAAACCGGGTCTCGACTATCCACAGTCTTACAAAGGTGGACCAATGGAGATTTGTACCTTCTAAGGAAAACATAGCAGACTTTGCATCCAGAGGAGCCAAGTTCAACATTGATGATGTCAAGGTATGGGAGGAGGGACCACATTTTTTGAAGAAGTCAAAGGAGTATTGGCCTGAAGCGGATGTACAAGGTCCTGAACCCCATCTCTTAGAATTAAAGAAGGTAATGTCCACGCATGTAATAATTGGAGAATCCACTGTTGATCTACTTATTAATTATTATTCAGATTGGACTAGATTACTTAAGGCTGTTGCATGGTTGATCCGATTTAAGCGATATTTATTAATAATGTATTCTGGCAGAAATGATCTGTCTCTACAGGTGGGTATGCTCAGAGTTGATGAGCTAGATTTAGTATTTTTAGATTTAATTCGATATGTCCAAAGCATAGTATTTCGGAAAGAGATTGAAATGTTGTCGTCTGATACCATTAGCAAAGTGAAAATAACAAATTCACCCTTACGAACCTTAAATCCAATAATTATAGACGGATTATTGTGTGTCGGTGGCCGACTTCAAATTAGTTCCTGGTCTGAGTCGAGGAAGCATCCTATAATATTACCATCGAAGCATACAATTACAGATTTGATTCTACGGTACTACCATGTTTTGGAGGGACATGTCGGAGCTACACAGGTAATGGCAACGGTCCGAGAAAGATTTTGGGTGCTGAGGGGTGGTGTAGCCATGAGGAGAGTGATAAAGGATTGTGTTTATTGTAAAAGGAGGAACGCCCATCCAATTCAACAACTAATGGCACCATTACCTGCGATCAGGATAGAAGGTTGTGACTATCCGTTCTTATCAGTTGGAGTAGATTATTTTGGACCCCTTATGGTTAAACATGGTAGAAATACTGAGAAGCGGTACGGTTGTGTATTCACTTGTTTAAGGTTGAGAGCTGTGCATCTGGAGGTGGCATATAGTTTTACCACTGACTCATTTATCATGGCACTAATGAGATTTGTCGGCAGAAGAGGTTATCCAAAAGAGATATATAGTGATAATGGATCAAATTTGGTGGGAGCTGAACGTGAATTAAGAAAATGTCTTCAAGGTTGGGTACAGGAGCGTATACACTCTGATTTACTAAGAAAAGGAATTGACTGGCATTTCAATCCTCCAGCCGCTAGTCATTGGGGAGGAGTGTGGGAGCGTATGATTCGCTCTGTACGTAGGGTATTGGGTGCTCTTGTAAAGGAACAAATTTTAACAGATGAATGCCTTGAAACTTTTATGATAGAGGCGGAGCGTATAATAAACAATCGACCTTTGGTCCCCGTTACAGACGACTCAAAGGATCTTGATGCAATAACACCAGCAAAACTATTACTATTGAGAGAGAATGTTGCAGAATTTACTGACACTGTATCTAATGACAGGTATTCTAAGAGATGGAAGCAAGCGAGTTACTTGGCGCAAGTATTTTGGAAACGTTGGTCTAAGGAATATGTTTCACTGTTGCAGCGTAGATACAAGTGGACACAGTTAGAGAGGAACATACGAGAAGGTGACTTAGTAATGATATGCTCTGACTTCTCTGAGAAAAACAAGTGGCCCTTAGGTCTAGTACAGAGAGTGATACCAAGTAAGGACAGACTAGTGAGACAGGTAGAACTGAGGACGAGAAAGGGGATCCTAGTGAGAGATATACGTAAACTGTGTCTTCTTGAAGCGGTAGATGGTAGGTAGCTACTCGGATCCCTAGGCGTACTGGTGTAAGTCCTAGGGATCACGAGATTGTTGACATATTGCATGCTTGTTGTTGATTGCTTGTGATGCACATACTTGGATTGTTGTTATCTATTTTTGTCGGTGAAAAGAACCAAGGTTCTTTTGGTCGGGAGTGTTACGGGAGGAATGAAGACATTTTGCTGATCAAAACCTTTATATAAATATCATTAATTTCACTGTTTTTTGGGTATATTTGTTTTACTTAACTTATGAACTTGTTTGAATTATTATTTTCGGACATTTTGGACTCCCGTTTCTCTTGGTTGTTCGTTTGCAGTTTTTTGCTCCAAGAATCTATAAATTAGAAGGTAATTGTAATTATTATAATTATTGTTGTTAGAACGACATTGGTCGTCTATTTGTAATAAAGTATTTTGGTCGAATTTGTGATTTGGAATAAACTTTGGTATCTACTTTGGAGTTTCGTTCTTGGTTTAAACATTTGGGACCGTGAATTACAAATAGTTCGACAACCGTGCTTCGTAGGATCAACGGGCAAAAAACTGGACGTAACACTCCCTACTCTAAAACTACCGATCGAGTGAGAGCTTATGGCGAACTGTCATCCGAATTTTCTACATCAAGTGGTGTCCGTCAGGGATGCAACTTTCTTCATTCTTGTTTAATTTTGTCATAGACTTGCTTCTAGATGTAACCTTATCCCCGTCCGACTATCCAGGAATCGACTTTCTACCAGAGGAATCGCTTACTGGCCTAGAATATGCCGATGACATAGTTCTATTCGGTGAAGTCTCTGACAAAATGCCGAGTCTTCTGACTACCCTAAGCAACAATGCAAGCAAATCCGGGATGCGGTTCTCACCCTCAAAATGCGAAATGTTGCTTCAAGATTGGGTTGCACCGGCACCTGAAATAGTGATAGGGAGTAAAGTAGTCAAACGTGTAGACCGCTTAACGTACCTGGGAAGTCTGAACAGTGCCGATGACCTGATGACTAACGAAATCTCAGCTCAAATACAGAAGGCAAGATTAGCTTTTGCCAACCTGCGTCATCTATAGCGCAGGCGAGATATCGTCCACATTCACACCACACTATAATTTAGGATGAATGTAGACAACAATGATTCCGTTGTACATTATTCAGTGCAAAACTCGACTTCGAAGTAAAATATTCCTGTTTGTGCCCACGTAGTTCTTCTTCAGTTCAAGACTGATCCACGAGTGACTATCAGATTACGAATTGTACATTCCTGGCTATTAGGAGTTCGTGTACGAAATACAGCGACTCTTGATTATCTCTAGATTCAATGGAGAATCACCTGTTTTTCGATGGACTAGCTACAGCCTTTCTTGAAAATAATTTCTAAGATATGCGATAAGGTCTGCAGTGATCGCTTATTCTTTACTCGTATGTAAAATTTTCTTGTTTCTTTGAAGAGGAAGTGATCTAATAAAAGTAATTATCGGAAGGATGCATTCAATAAAACCTTGACCCTGTTGATGCAGACCACTGGAAATACAAACGCATCCTATATGTGTGGTTAAGCCAGATAGATAGACAAAAGAACTTTCATGATCGAACCACCCAAATCAGACAACTCAAAATCTTCAGTTATCGTGAATCAACCAGAATATCAATGATAACTGAAGTACAACCGAGTTCCAACAACTATTTTGACAGAACCGAAATGAGAAGAATTCGGAGTAAATAAATAACTGAGACTAAGTGCACCTGAAGTGGCTCATAATTTCTAGTAACCTACGCCAATCGAGAGTTCCACAATGAGAATGATTGTTTGTGAGAAACAGATGACAAACAATGTACAAAATGACTGCATCAAAAAGTACCTGTCTATGTTGTGGGCAGCCGGTAAGTGACATCCGCCCTCATACTCGTAACAGCACATGAAACTAAATTAGTCATGATCATATCCTTCCTAAACCCCCTAAACGCTTCTTCTAACTCCACGACTAGGTGGCCATATAAGGGATTCCCACTCTGAGGCAGCTTGGGATGATATTCAAGAAGCTGTGTACCCTGCAGTGATATTTGCTGGTGAGGTAAACCGAAAGGTTTTGCAGGAGCAGTAGCATCTACCGAACTGATAGATGCTCGGAAACGCATCCCGTCTGGCTTTGAACATGATCAGGAACGTAGTGAGCCTAAGCGCAAGCTGATAAAAAGACTACGCCATGATCGCGAACATTGGTGGTTAGCTAAGGCGAGAGAGATGGAAAAGGTAGCGGCAATAGGTAACAGTAGACAACAAATCCGACTTATCAAGGAAACTTTTACTATGAATCCAACTGTTAGCGAAACTATCTCGCAAAAAGATGGGATCGTCATTCATTCTCAACCCTGATGATTGTAATGATGGGCAGAATTGTTCAGCGGTCAATTAGACTGGACTTCAGCGAAACGTCGATTACTCACGATCTGGAGTTGCTTTGTGAAATATATGTGAAGTGTGATACAGTTATGTTATTAGTCTTCATTGTACCATTTCAATGTGGTCTTCAATTTGTGTTCACCAACTGGTTTGTCGTGAAAAACAAATACCTTTAGAATCGATCAATTTCTAAATGTAACAGACGTAGTAATGAGAGTTGTAATCATGCAGCCATACTTCTGTTTAAAGAAGGAAGGAAAAACATGAAGAGTGATTGAAGAATTTAGGAAACGAAAATGGCCTTTCCGAACAGTAAATGAACATTATTTACTCATTTAACCAGTTGGTAATAACTCAACAACTTGATTGACGATGTATGGTTATCTTTCAAAGCCAATCAAGTACGAGTGAAACGAAGAGTTTTCAACGGGATTTTCAATGTTGGCTTCATTGCTCAGATTTAAGTAGATTGTAAGTAAATACCGATTACACATACGTGCACAACTTTGCGAAACACTTTTGTTATTATACGTCACTCGAGTGATCAGTGTTTACGGAAGAATGAACTTTCTTGTTTCCCGCTTCTTGTAACAGCTTTAACTTCATGCAATTGTAGTGGAATACTTTTCTGAAGAGAAAGCAATTGGTGAAATGGAAACATTCATTATTGTAACCAGTGGTACCAGTGATTGCTTTACGGCTTCCTGATTACGTGACCCTTACATTGTCCATGTTGTTACGGGAGAAATGAAGACATTTTGCTGATCAAAACCTTTGTATAAATATCATTAATTTCACTGTGTTTTTTGGGTATATTTGTTTTACTTAACTTATGAACTTGTTTGAATTATTATTTTCTGCCATTTTGGACTCCCGTTTCTCTTGGTTGTTCGTTTCCAGTTTTTTGCCTCAGGAATCTATAAATTAGAAGGTAATTGTAATTATTATAATTATTGTTGTTAGAACGACGTTGGTCGTCTATTTGTAATAAACGAACGACATTTTGGTCAATTATTTTGAATTAAGAATAAACTCTGGTACCTACTTTGGAGTTTCGTTTTGATATAATCTTTAAATTCGTGAATTGCAAATAGATTGACACACTGTGCTTCTAAGGATCAAGGAGCAAAAACTTGGACGTAACAAAAGTTCTTCTATTTTTATTTGGTCGTTGGATACTTTGGACACTTCAATTTTGGTTCTTTGGTCATACGCTGGATACCTTTGGATATTTGGGTCCAAAATTTCTTCAATTTTGATTCTTTCGTCGTACAATGGATACGCCGAGACATTTTGGCCCCAGGATATTTTGCGTCAAGTTTTTGTTATTATTGGTCAAATACGTTTGGATTAATTCACATTTGGTTGGTCATCGATTTCGAACAAATGCATACAATGGAAACGAGAAGCAAAATGCAGAAGGAAAATGACGAAATGGATGGTAAAATTTCTAAAGCTGTTTGCTTTATGTCTCATTTTAATGATGATAAACTTGATGATATTAGTGTTATTAGTAAGTCTTCATCTCAGTTTAGTACTTCTAGATTGAAGTTAGATAAGGCATTAATTAAGAAGAATAATTTGGAAAGGAGACTTGAGTTAGAAAAGCAGCTTAAAATGTTAGATCTTCAAGAGGAGGCTGATATGGCCGAATTAGAATGTAAGGTCACAGAAAACGATAACCGACTGTCAGTAGACAAAGCTGAGATACATTCTAAGGAGGAAAGGTACGTAGATTGTGATATTGCGCGTAATAAGGTAACTAACACCTCAAAATGGTATTGTATTGATGAATCAAAGGACACGTTACGTGCCACGAGTAATAATACAGTTTTTCCTAAGATCGATATGATTTTTTCTGGCGGACTATCAAGCCAGTTTCACTGTTTCATTAGTCAGTTTTTAAGCATTATAGAGAGTAAACTGTCTGACAAGGGCCAGTTGTTGTCATATTTGTCATACTATTGTAAAGGAAAGGCCAGAATGGCTATTGAAGCTTGTATTTCCTTGCCCAGTCACTTGGGTTACGATAGAGCTAAACAAATTTTGTATGATCTATTTGGTAAAGAACATCTTGTCGCCCGTAATCTTATTACTGAATTACTTAGCCACAAATCTGTTGAAGGATCCGCCGATAGCCTAACTGACTTCGCAATTAAGTTACGTAATGTATGTATAACATTGAATGAAATGGGGTATATGGCTGATGCGAATTCTACGGCTAATCTGGAAATAATTGTGTCACGTTTACCCCTGGAATTACAGAATAAATGGGTGGAAGCTGCTGATAGGATCATGATGACCGGTAGAGAGCCGATATTTGAAGAATTAGTGATGTTTGTAGAAGAAAGAGCCAGGATTGCGCGATCACGTTTTGGTAGATTGGTACATTGTAACTCAAAGTTCCGTAAAGGTAATTATGAAGGCTAAGTTGACAGGAGATCACGCTTTAATGTAGTTAAGAGGGAACCAAGCAACTCATTCAAGGCTTTAAGTTGCGAAATTTGTTTTGGTGATCACAAGGAGAAAGACTGTATGAAGTTATCAAAAATGAATGTTACAGAGAGGAGGCAGGAAGTGAGAAAGCGTGGTCTATGTTACTTGTGTTTAAGGAAGGGTCACATAGCCAAGTCGTGTAACTCGGACACAAGGTGTGACGTTGATAATTGCAAGATTCGGCATAATCCATTATTACATATTGATGCTTCTAACAAACATGTAGTGAACTTTGCTAAGGATTGGAAATTCCCAAAGGTTTGTTTGGGTATCGTTCTGGTTAGACTATATGGCCCCAAAGGATGTCTGGAAACATACGCTCTTCTAGACAATGGTTCAGATACCTCTATTGTATGCGAAGAGTTAGTTAATCGGTTAGGTCTCAAAGGTAAGGAGACTTCAATAAAGGTGACGACTGTGAATGGAACTTCTACTTGTGAATGTCTGGAAGTAAATTTAGAGGTATTTTCATTAGATGAGCGGGGTTCTATAAAGATCAACAAGGCCTATACGACCAAGAAACTTCCGATCGATTATGCAGAGCCTTTAACCGAACTGCAGCTGAGAAAGTGGAAACATTTAAGGGACATAACTCTACCGAGGCTGCAAAGTAATCTAGTAGGAATATTGATTGGGTGTGATGCTCCAGATGCACATTGGGTCCTTGAACAACGCCTGGGAGATAGGAAGCATCCGTTTGGTGTGCGTACTCATCTCGGTTGGATGATTTTAGGTCCTAAAGAAGCATCGAGGTCTTTACATCAAGTTCAGTGGTGTCATTGTTCTACTAATGATATTTTGCAAGATATAGAAAGATTATATAATCATGAGTTCGAGGATGCAGACATACGTAAACTATGTCTTCTTGAAGCGGTAGATGGTAG